GTGGCAGGAGGCTAAGATTTATTCTACAGTGTTGGAATTTTCAGTTTCAAGGGATGATTAATGGTGGTGAGTGGGGAAGAGGGGAAAAATGTGCAACCAAGATGTCGTTCTCAAACTCTAAGCATTTGTGATAAATAAGTTATAAGTGATTTTACTCAAGCAGTGGGGGGGGTCTCTCTGCTACTTTCATTACAGTAGAATAAGTGCCTCTAGTGGGGGCTCGGTAAGGAGGGTCCAGATTTCAAGTGTATACGTGGTTGAATCATTATCTTCTCATTCTGGCTGTCCCCCTCCAGCTGGTGTATTTATCATTGAGAATGAGGAGGGATAGTTGAAAATGAAAGTCCAATGGATGATGTAGCCTTGGCTGTGACCCTAGGAAACAGCATGTAATATAAATGGTCTCCTGCTGCAAAGGTGGATAAGCCCTTTAGTGTTCCCTGGGCTCTGAACCAGGTGGGCATTCTCTGGTATGAGGCACTGAAGGAGAGATATGAACTGTGGCCTGATCGTAGAACATACTGGGTTGGTCATCTCAAAGTCAGAGCAAAGAAACATGGTAAAATGTTAAAAGTCCACCCCCACGTGAGTCATTTAACCCTACAAGGCTTCATCTGCTTTGTTTCCAAAAGGAGTTTGGATGAAAATCTGGGTTATTTAGACCCCAAATAAAAAATATAAACAACAGAAGTAGCATTAACAATTCATGAAGGAAGAATTGGCATATTCAATCATTAGAGTTGGGACGATTGGTTTTCCATCTGGAAAAAAATAGACAAAAGGAATCCCTACCTCCCACCATAGAGGGGAAAAAAAAAGTGGTTCCGATACAGATTCCCAGGTCCCATGTTGGGCCTACTGTAACTTAGAACTTCATCATTTTTAAAGCCCTCCACAGACCACTTAGAAACCACTAGTCTGGACTACTAACTCCCAGGGGTCAGGAACTCCAGGGCTTTTTTTGACATTAAATCTTTTGCACCCTGGATGATCCCTGGAACATAATATGAACCCGGAAAATGTTTGAATGAATAGAAGATTTCAGATTCTAAAAGAAAAAAAATGAATTTTTAAAAAAGATTGTACATTTTTCTTTGGCTGTCATTGATAATGGAATAGATTGTCATATATGCAGAATTATTTGGGATACTGACCTGGCTGATAACAGGAGAGAAGAACTGAATGGAGAAATTTTAGTAAGATCAGCCTTTTCTTCTCAAAATCTAATTTACAGCTATTTGAAATTATTACACATACCTTGGGAACTAGGCCCACCTCAAAATATTATTAAACCATATTTTAACTGTGGTCATGATTATTCCTTTTTTCATTTATTAAGTGCCACGTTGTGTAGAAATACAATCTTTCTAGCACAAGTTTTTTTCCCTTCTTTTTTATTTATTAAGGTGTAACTTAAACATAATAAACTTCACCAATTTTAAGTGCACAGTTTTGCTGAATTGTGGCATTTGTGTACAACCTATAATCACCACCATGGTCAAGATACAGAATGGTTTTCTCATCCTACAAAGTCTCCTCTGCCCCTTTGTATTCCATCCCCTCCCCCCACCTCCATCCTTAGGGAACCGCTGATCTGTTTAGGGTCTAACGCTCAATTAAAATAACAGTAATATAAACACTACCAAACGTAAAATAGATAGCTAGTGGGAAGCAGCCGCATAGCACAGGGAGATAAGCTCGGTGCTTTGTGACCACCTAGAGGGGTGGGATAAGGAGGGTGGGAGGGAGGGAGACGCAAGAGGGAAGAGATATGGGAACATATGTATATGTATAACTGATTCATTTTGTTATAAAGCAGAAACTAACATACCATTGTAAAGCAATTATACTCCAATAAAGATGTTAAAAAAAAATAACAGTAATCCGGACTTCCCTGGTGGTCCAGTGGTTAGGACCCTGCGCTTCCACTGCAGGGGGCCCGGGTTCAATCCCTGGTCAGGGAACGAAGATCCTGCAAGCCATGAGGTGCAGCCAAAAATAAAGTAACAGTAATCATAATTGTAGAATCAGGAACTTTAAAATATTTTTGCCAAAGAGGAGAAATGACAAATAAATTGGTAACCTAGCCAGCCAGGCTGCAACCCCAAGATGGATTACAGCTTCACTTGACAGTGAATTAGCCCCCCTGGAGACCCAGGGTTGGAGGCCACGGGAGAGCGTGCCGAGCCTTCAAAGACCCGGTACCCCAATAATTTTTTACAGATAACATGGTAAGACCTTTTTTATGATTACAGAAAGAGAACGCAAGGGTTGACATAATCAGCTCAGATATACATCTGACAACTGGGTTTCTGAACATGCATCTGGACTCATTTTTAATCTGGTATCTTAAAAGAACCCCTGGGCCTTCCGATCTTTCTCAGAAGATTCTTAGTGACCATGCTGCTTGAAGATGAAGCATTCAAGTAAAGAAACTTCTGCCTCAGAGGATGTTTTCTTTCTCTGAGGCTATTAATTAAAAAGCTCAGAGTCCCTGGTTCCCACCAAGATTTATAGCCCAAACTGAAACACAGGAATGGTAGTAAGTCTATGAGAAACTAATGCGGCAAAAACAAGAATGTGGAGATTTTGTATGGTGCTCTTGGGAGGGTCATCAGTTCTGCTTCCATGTGGGCACCAGGCACTGTTTGGGTCCTGAGACTACCACTGAAAAAGACAGGCAAATTCCTGCTGCCTTCCTGTAGGCAGCAACTCGCATTCTGATACTGGGAGGTGGGAACAAATAACACGGGTCCTCTCAGAGAAGAGAGCAGGGATGAAGGGAAAGCAGGTACAGGATGGCTGGGGTAGGGGTGGGGTGAGCATTTTGGGTAGCTGGTCGGGGAAGACTGCTCTGAGGAGGTGATCTTTGAGCTGAGACCCAAATAACAAAAAGGAGCCAGCTATTGCTAGAGAAAGAGCATTTTAGAAATCAGGACCAGTACATGCAAAGGCCCTGAGGTTGGTATGTTCAAGAAAGAAGGCAAAGATGGCCCGAGCACAGTGACCAAGGTGGAGAGGGGTACAAGCTGAGGTTAGAGAAATAAGAAGTCTTGCTCCAAAAATGCAAACCTGAGCCCTCTTGAAAACAAAGTCACGAAGCCAGCTGTGCTGGTGCCCCTGTGCTCTGAGAGATGTGTCACTGCTGGGCCGTAGTTGAGAATGCTTACATTTGCAAAATCGCTTCTTATTTCCTCGGATACTGATGATAGATGAGTTGGCAGGGAAGGTAGAGCTTTTCTAGCCCAATCCCCTCATTTTACAAATGAGGGAACAGAGGCCCAAAGAGGGTAAAGTTCTTCCCTCATGACCCGGAGGAAATTTTTGCATTTCATTATCACAGGTTGAGAGATCAATTTCCACCCTATATAAAGAGCTGCTGGCTGGCCGCTCTGGTGCAGAGTGAATGGTGGGGAAGAGGGGTACAAGAGGAGGTTGACAAAAATCCAAACGTTTGATCGCACACAGCAGCTAGGCTGTGGGAACACAGGCACGCCCATGCACTGAGTGGGAGGAGAAGTGAGTACAGCTCTCGAGCAGGCTAGTAGTTCTGGTAAAATGAAAGCACGAGGTTGGTCAAAAACTGGAAAGAACTCAAATGTCACTGAACAGGTGCCTGGATAAATAAATTGCAGTCTTTCCAGACAATGGAATACTACTCAGCAATAAAAGGGAGCAAACTGCTGATCCATGCAGTTGACTCTCAAACACGCTGAGCAGAAGCAGCCAGGTATGAGAGGGAGTAAGTAAGCACACCGTTTTGCAGGAAGGTCTAAGTCAGGCAAAGCTAATTTATAGTTTTCTGGGGCCAGGAGTGGAGCTCGACTGCAAAGGGCGCTGAGGGAACTTTTGGGGGTAATGGATATCTTTATATCTTGATTGTGGTGGTGTACATGTGCACACACATTTGTCAAAACTCTTAAGTAGGTCCTTTTATAATGTATGTAAATTATATCAATAAACTTGATTCTAAAAATTTTTTAAAGGAAGGGAAAAAGTAAAGCTTTTGGTTAAATTGCTATTTACGGGCTAAACAATTACCAAGCACCTCCATGTACAAGGCGCCATAACAGGTGCCGACCAGCTGTTGGTGCAGAACACGGTGGGACAGAGGCACCGACGCCAGCCCCTCTCTGTGAGCCCCATGGTTCCCTCCGCCAGACAACTGGCCTCCCATCCTCTGCTCCCAGCCCATCAGCCACCCAGAGACCACAATCAGAACCCAAGTCAGGGAAGGGACAGTGGCTACTTAGAGGAAAAGTAGCTCTTCCTTTTGGTCTGAGAGGATCTAAAAATCCATAAAGCAAAAGGAATGGGAAGGAGATTGGGCTTGTTTGTGAATCAGGGCCCCATCCCGACTGGTGTGCACCCACCCCTCTGTTTAGTAACCAACCTCCATCTCTCTTGCTTGATAATGTTTGTTCAAATAATTTTGCTGAGCCCCAGTCTGAGGTATTAGCATTGTTTGGCTTTAACTTTCCACGTTCATTGACACAATATGTTTGTATCTAATTTCTGCAAGTTTTCCCGGCCTCCACTACTGCATGTATGTGTGAACAGGGCATATGAAGTGGCCTGGGCAGGGGACAGCAGCTCTTTACAGATAAGCATGTCTCTCTACAGAAAGATGGTTTCTGTGTGTGGACTTTCACCTACAGTCATATTGTGAAGAGATGTGGCAGTTTCTCTCTATTTAATATTGCACAGATGGGTATCTGAAAACATACCTCTCCAGACACCTAGGATGTGGTGTAGTGTTTTTAATTTTTAGAAAAATTAATCAGCCAAATAAGAGATGTGTGTCAATGCCCAGCCCTCAGTGGCTGGGTTCTTGCCCACAGGTGAGGATAATACTTTCATTTTGCATCATCCCACTTCTCAGACCTGGGGGAAGGAACAAAGGGGTCAAGGAGGTCATCCTCCTGGACCAACTGAGGGGACGGCAGCAGGTTGGCAACCCTAAATCATCCTGTTCACTCCATTTTTCTTCCTTCCTTCAGAAACTTACAAGATTGCTCTGCCACATGGAAGCAACATTACAGTCCTCATAAAGCCTGGGGCCCCAACTCTGCCAGCGAACCTATGTCAGATCATTTCTAAAACACAGGTAACCCCATTGTCCATCAAAGCCGGAGAGACAGCAGTCTTTTCCTTTAGCTGCCAGGATCCAGAGAATCACTTTGTTATCGAGATCCAGAAGAATATTGGTAAGTATGCACTCATGGACTGTTTGGCCTCCCTGCCTCTCTTTTACACGCTAAGCCAGCCTCTACTGCTAGGGAGGTGAGATCTGTTCTGAAACTCCGCACTCTCTTTAGCTTTTATGTGGCCATTCACAGTTCTAAGTGCTTTACATGGTTTCAGTTTTTTAATCCTCAGAGCAGCCCTAGGAGAAGTTCTCAAAGAAAGTAACTTGCCTAAGATGGCACAGCTGGTGTGTAGCAGCAAGATGGGAGCCCAAGTATTCTGGATCCAGAGTCTTTGCCTGTAACCACTATGCCACACTGTTTTGTAACAGAGCTACGGATTCTCAGGTGATGCTCTGCCTGATGTGCTAAAAACATCTGGCTGAGCAGGAGCAAAAGTCAAGGGAGTTGGAGGACAGAAGAATTGGAAGGTTGAGAAGATAAGAGTGGGGAAATGGGTCCACAAGGCACAATGGGAAAAAACAGCAGCTTTGCAGGCTGAGGGAGCTGGGTTTGACTTCAAGTGCCAGGGCTACTGATCATGTGGCCTGATTGCATGGCTTCATATGAGTTACTTAACTGCTCTGTGATTTAGTTTTCTGGTCTGTAATATAAGAATCATTGTACCAACCGATAGGGGTGTTTCGAGGAAGAAATAAAATTATGGATTGAGAGTGCATGACACACCAGAATTCAACAAACTACAGATAGCTGGTATTGTTAATCATAATTTGAGATAGAAGATTGACATAAGACACAATAATCAGGCAGAAAGAATTAAAGGTATACTTTCCCAATCATTTTAAGGTGGCATGCCACCTAGGAACTAACAGATATATCAGTAACAGTGAGGACACTATTTTGATCTAATCAAAGCCATGCTCAGAAAACTTCTTCACCTTTAACTGAAAATAAATGAATTGGCAATAGATCATGGGAGAAGAAAAAGGATAAAATAAACCTTAAGAAGAAGGAATTCATAAAAATAAAAGGAGAAATTAAAGTACTTAAAACCAGTTTTAGGGCTTCCCTGGTGGCGCAGTGGTTGAGAGTCCACCTGCCGATGCAGGGGACACAGGTTCGTGCCCTGGTCTGGGAAGATCCCACATGCCGCGGAGCGGCTGGGCCCGTGAGCCATGGCCGCTGAGCCTGCGCCTCCGGAGCCTGTGCTCTACAATGGGAGAGGCTACAACAGTGAGAGGCCCGCATATACCGCAAAAAACAAAACAAAACAAAACAAAACAAAAACAGTTTTAAAAACTGTGTTTGATAACTAAAACCAAGACCTGGTTCTGTGTAAAGACCAATTAAATAAACAAACTCTGACTAGTCTCCTGGAAAAAATAAAGAGAAATTACAGATATACAGCATTGAATGTATAAATGTGGGTTTAATGACATATACAAAGCAGATTGCTAAAATTGTAAGAGACTATGATAATAAATGTGAAAATCTGAATGACAGGATGATTTCCAGGGAAAATTTAATGAGCCAGATTGACTCAAAGAAAGGGAGGAAACCTGAATAAGTAAATAACCAAGGAGGAGATTGGAAAAATTGTCCAGTGTGAAGGAGAACAGGGTTTGGGTTAGTTAGAGATGGTTTCATAGAGTAGTCCTATAAAACTCCAAGTAGCAGATAATTTCTATGATATTTAAACCATTTGAGAGGTAGGTTGACAAACCTTTTCTGTAAAAGACCAGAGAGTAAATATCTTAGGCATTATGTGCCAGATGGTCTCTGTCACAACTCCTCAGCTCTGCCATTACAGCACAAAATCAACCGTAGACAATAGGTAAACAAATGGGCAATGAATATCCCACATTCATTTACAAGAACAGGTGTTTGGCTTGATTTGGCTATTTGCCAAACCCTAGTCTAGAGCACTGAAAGAGGTAAAGGTTCACAGTTCATTTTATAAGGCTCTTACCACCCTGATGTCAAAATCTTCCACCACATAAAAAAGAAGACCACAGACCAATCTCTTATGAAAATACATACATGCCAAAAAAATCCTAAGTAAAATATAAATACATCAAACCCCAAAACTTGCATTAAAAGACGAACACAAGAGCAGGAGAGCTTATTGGAAGATGGAAGTTTAACGTACTGCTCTGTGTGATTAGGTGAAAGGGAAGAAACTGCATTTGATCATCTTAATAGATGGTCTTAAATGTTTTTAATAAAATGCTCTTAGTAAACCAGAAATAGAGGGATGTTTTCTTAATCCAATAAATTGTATCTATCAAAAACTGATAACAGGGACTTCCCTGGTGGCACAGTGGTTAAGAATCCGCCTGCCAATGCAGGGACACGGGTTCGAGCCCTGGTCTGGGAAGATCCCATATGCCACAGAGCTACTGAGCCTGCGCTCTAAAGCCCGTGAGCCGCAACTACTGAAGCCCGTGCACCTAGAGCCCATGCTCCGCAACAAGAGAAGCCACTGCAATGAGAAGCCTGCATACCGCGACAAAGAGTAGCCCCTGCTCGCCACAACCAGAGAAAGCCCGCACACAACGAAGACCCAGCGCAGCCAAAAATAAATAAATTAAATAAATTTAAAAAAAAAAAAAAAGACTCCATGCTTCCACTGCAGGGGGCATGGGTTCGATCCCTGGTGGGGAAAGTTCTGCATGCCTTGCGGTGCGGCCAGGAAAAAAAAACTGATAGCAAATATATTTAACAGCCAGACATAGAAGTGTTACCAATAAATCAAGGAACAACATAAGGATTCTCACCATGCATGCTTTTGGTCACCATTATTCAAAAGTTCTAGTTAAGTATTTAATCTTAATAAATACATAGAATATATATGAAGCAAAATGTACAATCTTACTGAAAGACCAAAGAGAAGATGTAAATAAATGGAGAGATATACCATGTTACTTGATGAAAATCTCAGTATTTTTTAAGTGTCATTTCTCCCCCAGATTAATTTATGAGTTTAAGTCAATTACAATTAAAATCTCAATGAAGCTTTTACAGAGTTGAGAAGACTATTGATATACTTAAGAATTCAAAGGAATACTGTGTTGCTATTAAAAGAATGAAGTAAATCTATGTATTTGACATGGAAAGATGCCCCAGGTCATTTTGTTCCATTGAAAACAATGCAGCTTTTAGTAGAATAGTTTGTATAGTTTAATCCCACTTTATTGAATACACATAATCATATGGAGCCCAAAGTCTGGGGGGTTAAACACCAAAATGCTAACCTTATATTATTTCTATAGTGAGTAGGGGAGGGGAACAGGTGACATTCATTGTCTTTTTTCTGTTCTTCTGTAGTGTCATTTTTTTTACAAGCATGCATTACTTTTACAACCAATTAAGCCAAGAAAGTGACTGCCATCTTGAAAAAGGAGAAGGGTAATGGGACTTCCCTGGTGGTCCAGTGGTTAAGACTCGACCCTCCCAATGCAGGGTGCCCGGATTTGACCCCTGGTCAGGGAACTAGATCCCACATGCCACAACTAAGAGTTTGCATGCCGCAACTAAAAGATCCCGCATGCCGCAACAAAGATCCCACGTGCCGCAACTAAGACCCGGCGCAGCCAAATAAATAAATAAACATTATTTTTTAAAAAAAGGAAAAGGGTACCACAATCTTACCTCACAAGACCAGTCTCACACACAGACCACACACAGTTTACCATATAATAAAAACCCATGCTCACAATTTTTGAAAATGTTTTGAAAATAAAAATTTTAGATTATAAATCTAGACACTGGAATCAAGTTCAGTGTTCTGCTTGCCTCTTGTTTTTAAAAACCTTTCCTGAATAAACATTCTGAAAGTGTCAAAGTTTAGCCCCTCTGCAGTCATCCCTTCTTTTTTTTTAATTATTATTTTTTAAAATTTTATTTTATATTAGAGTATAACTGATTTACAATGTCATCCCTTCTTGAATGGCCCCGTTAAAGCTAATGAAAGTAGAAGTCTGTGCTGGGGAAAATGAGGTGTGAATCGCTTCAGAAATTACACTTCTCCGTCCTCTGGGTAGGAATCATTTTAGTTATTTAACATTTTTGCACTGGACGGGGAGCAGAAAACTTGGAGGCATGCCCATCATTTTGACTACTCTTACTTGTGTATCCATTCTGAACACAAAGCTCTTAGCAACAAATTAAAAAGTGCTTGCACAACCTGACACCGCCAGGGTCTCATGGCTGGTGGCAGAGCCATGGCTGAGAGACGGGCCTTTTTGACTCCCGGTACTTGGTACGGAATTAGATCAGAGTCGCTTGGGTGGCCCAGGCATGTGTATTTTTTAAACATCCTCCAAGTGAGTCTAGTGTGGAACCAGGGCTGTGAACCACTGCCTTAGTAGGGGTAAGTGATCCCACAAGAACACAGAACCCAGTAGGGAACATGGGAAGTGTAGTTGAAAAGTTATGAAAGAGATGGCTTGATAGAAACAATGAAGTTTCCACGAGCTCCAAAAAATAGGCACTATCCTTACCTACACACAAAATATAATTTTAGCTGCATTTGTCACCTTGTTATCTAACCTTGTTTTATTGGTTAAGCAACGCAGTGCATTGGCAAGAACGGAAGTCGACCAAACACAGCCTGGGCTTTTGTCCTAGGAGCGTGTGCACTGCGAGCGCCACACGACTCACCCAGACTCCAGGGCTGCTTTGCAAAAATTAGAGTTTTGACGTGATGACCTCAGAGGTCCTAGACAGCTCTGAAATTCTCCCATAATTCTATTTCGAGTTGGCAGTAGTTTCAAATACTCCACTGGAGCAGCAGTAAAGACTTGCAGATTATTATTACAGTGGCCAAAGTCCATTGCACTTTTCAGATTCCCTGCTGGAGACAACAAAATCCTCACTATTAGGCTGCCTGCTTTCTCTTAGTGCCTCCCTGATAGCAACGTTTCTCCCTTTGTTTTAAAAAGGCTTAGGAAACAAAGTACGTCAAAGGATGTCATTAAGTGTTAGCCTTTGGGAAAAAAAAATTCTACTGCAGTGGTAATGAAACACCAGCATGAAAGCCAGGAGGCAAGAAGATGACCTCGCCTCCAGGTTCCAGCCATTCAGGGGCTGTACGTTCAGAGCGTACTCAGTCTGTTGATGAGTGTGTTGATGGAAAAACCAGTTTTAAAAGGTAGAGCTTGTCGCAGCACCCTAAAAATTGAGAAATCATGACTCTTTCGGTATAGAGGAAGTAGGATATGTATCCCAAAGCACAGGCTCCACTGCAAAGGGCCTCCCTCTGGCTTCCAGTAGGGCCTGGGCAGAGATCCACCAACTGGACTAGCTTAATCTGGAAAACAGTGCGGGTCCCCCCTCCCCGACCCGTGCTATCCCAAAAATAGAGTGTTCCTATGACATTTTTCACAAGCCAAAATGGCGTTAAGTCAAAGAAGCAATTACCTTAGGACACATCTTGCTAACGGATGTGTAAAGTAATTTGAAATAAAGCACAAATGCTCACGTACAGAGTTCAGAGCTGTAGCAGCGTGATGCTGAGATGCTGTGTTGTTCCTGGGGAAGGAGCTTGGCGGTGCCACTTGCGGGGTACCCGCTGCCTCTGTAATGGCTCCCTGCAAAACAAACACTGAATGCTCTTTTCGCTTTCCACCTTTTTCATAAATGCAAAAATTCTTTTTGGATTTATTTTGGTTAGCGGAAACAAGTACCAATGCAAGTCTTTCATAAAAGCAAAGTGGAATAAAGCGAACGTTCAAAAAGCAGGGGAGGACTTCCCTGGTGGCGCAGTGGTTGAGAATCCACCTGCTGATGCAGGGGACGCGGGTTCGTGCCCCGGTCTGGAGGATCCCACATGACGCGGAGCGGCTGGGCCCCTGAGCCATGGCCGCTGAGCCTGCGTGTCCGGAGCCTGTGCTCCGCAACGGGAGAGGCCACAACAGTGAGGAGCCCCCCGTACCGAAAAAAAAAAAAAAAAAACGGGAAACTTGTAGTTAGGAGGTGACTTGGGTCTGGTTCCCTAGAAGCAGAGCCTGACATGAGGATTCTTGTCTTTAAGTCATGAATCAAGAGAGTGCCCTGAGAAACCTGTGAAGAAGTGAGGAAAGCAGGGTAGAATGAGGACAGCAAGCAAAGATGTGGTTTTAGCTGCAGGCTGATCTGGAGCTTGAGTGACAATTGCCAGGCTGTGTCATGTGAATCAAGGATGTCAGGCTTTTCACTCCTGGGTTGGCAGTGATTGGCTGTGGGTTGACACTCCCTGCTGGGATGGGAGTCAGGGGCAGGGAAACCTCTCAGGCTTTTCTGCCCCAAGGCAGCTCCCTCCAGCCAAGGCACTTCCCCAGAGAGGGATGCATCCGTGAGCCATTGGCAGCCAACTTTCATGTAGCCAGGAGATGGGTGGGCCCCCCAGAAAACCCCCCCTCCAAAGAGTTCACTACAGGGGCTGAGGAGGGGCAGTGAGTGGCCCAGTAGCGTTTGTGACCAGATTGTTTTGTGACTGTGTTTCAGACTGCATGTCAGGTCCATGTCCTTTTGGAGAGGTTCATCTTCAGCCCTCAATGTCAGTGTTGCCCACCCTCAACAGAACCTTCATCTGGGATGTCAAAGCTAACAAGAACATCGGCCTAGAACTGCAGTTCTCCCTCCCTCGCCTGAGGCAGATCGGGCGGGGGGAGAGCTGCCCTGACGGAGTCACTCACAGCATCAGCAGCCGCGTTGACACCAAGATGGTCGGGATCGGAACCTTCTGCAGCAACGGCACTGTGTCCCGGATCAAAATGCAAGAGGGAGTGAAAATGGCCTTGGCCCTCCCGTGGTTCCACAACAGAAAAGTCTCCGGCTTCAGCATCACAAACCAGTTGTCTATAAAACGTGAGCTCGCCATGCCCTCCCCTCTGTTTGCTGAGGTTGAAACCTACAAAATCACGCTTGCTCTCCATCAGAAATGGTCAGATGTTGGCAATTGTGTGATTCCATCTGCATACCTTAAAGGAAGTCCCACTCTTCTGTAAGCATGTGGGCCAGTCCTGGTGTGAACCCACCCTCCTCTGTTAAACAAACCAGGTGGTGACTCTTTCTTTTGTCCTTTGTATGTGAGGCTTGTTTTCAAGAAATGAAATGGGACTGGCTCTACAGACCTTAATGACTCTGTTTCTCATGTCTTTTTCCCGTCTTCTGTCTCTTTCACAGTTTCTAGAATTGTATCGGTATGCCAGATACAATTGTATCTGTATGCCAGAGCTGGCCCACAGCAGCTCATGAGTGCCAATTGTTAAGTGTCCTGGAATTTTGTGAGCTGGTATTAAACAGAGCCATTACTAAAAATAAAATTATATAAACTTACAATTAAATAAATTAGTTTAGGAACAAAGGTAATAAGTACTCAAAACTCATTACTTCCTAGTTAATACACTGCATTTTACTATTTATGCTTTGAAGTTAGGTATGCCCATTGGATCTGTATGGTGAAAATCCTATGTGATGGTGAGAGGGCTGTCCATCTCCTTCCAACTCCACGTTCATCCATCTCCTGTTGGTAGCCTGAAATCAGCTATAGTGGGAGTCTTTACACCAAGGAAGTGGGCAGACACTACAAATTAAGGCTTTATTTTTTTTCCCCTGCTGGGTTGATTATTAAACATATACTCACACACCACTGATGTATCCTCATTCTCACTGTCTACCTTGAATTGAGTATAAACATGCCATATCCAGACCCAGTGCTCAGGACCTAAGACCCACTTTCACCTCTTCTCTAACCCCTGTCCCCCCACCCATGGATGACCAGGGCAGGGTCTAATCACCTCCTATTCTCTCGTTTGGGTTCCACCCCCAACAGGCCTGTGCATCATCGAATCTGTGTTTGAAGGTGAAGGCTCCTCCACCCTGATGTCTGCCAACTACCCGGACGGCTTCCCCGAGGACGAGCTCATGACATGGCAGTTCATCATCCCCGCGCACCTGCGGGCGAGCGTCTCCTTCCTCCACTTCAGTGTCTCCAACTGCGTGAAGAAGGAGGAGCGGGTCGAGTACTGCATCCCAGGCTCCACCACCAACCCCGAGGTGTTCAAGCTGAAGGACAAGCAGCCTGGGAACATAGCCGGGAACTTCAACCTCTCTCTGCAGGGCTGTGACCAAGATGCCCAAAATCCAGGCATCCTCCGGCTGCAGTTTCAAGTATTGGTCCAACATCCACAAAATGAAAGCAGTAAGTAAGCCCCACTTTCCTTCCCCTCCCCCTCCTCCAGTGCCTTCTTTCCTTCCTGGGTAGTCTGCTTGGGCTGAGGTTCCCTTCCTACTTCTTGTCTGTGGCTCTGGCACACTTGGACTCTGGACCCTGTAAGACTTTCAGGAAGTGCGTTGCTAGGCAGTGAGACCAGGTCACTGGTGAATGCCGGGCATACTGTTCCACTTCAGCACAGTAAGAAGCTAAGATGATCTTGCATTCAGGGTGATAAGTTGTTTTTAATGAAGACATTGGAAGGTTACCTTCTGGAGCTCATGTCTTGCCTGACCCTACAGTGTGGATCAGGATGTCGCCAGCACCGTGAGCAGTGATGATAACACTTTTATTGTCTGAGTGCCAAGCCCTGCCCTAAGCACACCACTCACATGGTCTCAGCTAATCCTTATTACAGCCTTGCAGGGGAGACAGGAATTACCTTCATTTATTGATGAGAAACCAGAAGTTTCAGAAAGGTTATGGAACTAGCCCGGTATCACACAGCTTGCCAGGAGCAGAGCAATCTCAGAACCCAGAGCCTGTGCTTCTGGACCACGCAGAACCCCAGGTTCTGTGAAAATGAGGGGTATCATTCCACACACATTTACTGAGATGCCGTGACTACAGCGAGGCTATATGCCCAGGGCACAACACTGAAGGAGGCACCCGCTCTGAGGAGCTCCCTCTCACAGAGGCTCTCACCCTCAGGGTTGTGTCAGTTCAAGGTCAGTCCCCGAGAGTGAGCACCTCCTTAAAACTTACTCTCTGGGTGCCCTTGCCTCACAGAGAGGAGTGGCAGGGATCCTGAGAAAAAGGTACAGGATGAGTTCAGAGTGGCTATTCCTGGGGCTCATCTATGAGCTGGAGTCTGTGAGTTGTGACAGGTGGTCTTGAACCAGGACATCTGTGATGTGTGCTGACGATGGGTTCTGCCCACAGGGTTGATTCTCATCCTTGTTTTTAATATTATTTACTTCCGGGAAATAGAACCAGGCAGAGAAATTGAGAATGTGAAATGGCATGGCTGATAAATACCTGAAAAGTGACCATGAGGGATCCACTCCCAGGGTTGCCCATCTGACACCATCTTGGGAGTGCCCACTCGGTACCCACCTGGAGCCCGGCTCCTCAGGAAGCCTCAGTTCCTTCATATCTTGACCCAAGATTCCTTCTAATTCACAATAACCGTGTACAAGGCATAACTTTATATATACATGTGTGTATGCGCATGTGTGTCCACTGACACATTTTGATGACTCTATGTCACAATTTTATCAGAATGTTGAAAACAGCCATGAAGGGATTCAGAAATGGAGTGGCTTTGAGTTTTAGAAGACGCAGGGATTTGTTTATCATCTCAGTCACGGTGAAGTGCTACTGATTAATTCTGTTTCCTGTAACATCAGCTGGGTTGATTTCTAAATATAATCAAATTGTTAAGCATGCTATTACCAGCATCAAGAAGGATATGGCTTCAGTTTTGAGGTAAATAGTGGTTAACTGCACTTTAGATGTGTTTAGCACTGTCAAGGCTTTACATCAAGCATGGTTTGCATTTTTCTAGGCAAGTGAGTTAACTTGGCCAGCAGAAGTATCTTTACTTGGGCGATGCTGGAGTCCCTGAGAGCTCTGATTTCTGGACATCTCCATCTTGATCCTCTGAATCCCAACGTGGACCCTAAGTTTCAAGAGATTGCCCAAGGCTGCCAACCCTGTGCACTCACACGTTTGTCTGGTTCTGTAAATATGTGTGGACAGCTTGTTTTGCAGGCAGCATGGCCCAGTGGTTAAAGGCACTTACTCTGGAATTGGCCTGCATGGATTCGAAATCCTGATTCCCCTACTTACTGTGTGAGCCTGGGCAAGTCACTTAACTCCTGTGTGACTCAGTTTATCTTCAAGTAGAGATAATAGGACTGTCCTCGTAGGGGTGTTGTGAGGAGCAATGAGGTGGCAGTGCCTGGCAGACAGTAAGCACTCTTTAAATGTTATCCTGCAAGGCTCTAGGTCAAGGAAGGGATACAAAGTTGAAAAAGACACAGCACTGGTCCTTAGACGTTAGCCTGTAATCCAGAAGACAGATGAGACTTATAGGATGCAGGAGGTCACTTCCCAGAAGGAGTTTCTTCTTTTTATTTTCTTTTCATATCTTGTTGATTTTATTTTAATAATTGCAATCTGGGTACCCTGCTGGTGTAACATTTGGTGTCTGCGTGGGTGGCCATTTCTCCACGGGCTCCTCTGGGGATGCAGCGGATAGTGGTAGGTGCCCAGGACTCTATACGCTGTGCATCACTGGGATGGACGGAGTTCTCCAGGGTGGGGTCTCGGTTCTGCGTCGGCCGATTCTGTCATTTTCATTCACTGTCTTCATCAGCTGGTGGTAACAAATGCTGTTGGTCTGGTTTCTCTCTTGTACTTTCTTGCACAGATGATGGATGTTTCAGAGGAAATTTTGGCGGGCATCTCTACCCACTTGGCTCTCTTCCACACCTTGGCACTGTCTCTGCACTTGTATTGGCAGGGGTCGTCCCCTCCGTCCTTTCCTCAGTGCTTGTGGTCGGCTATTCCCTGCTTGTGCTTGGTTGTTCTGTGCTTGTAGTTGGTTGTTCCCCAACTGTGGTTGGTTGTTCTGTGCTAGGGGTGGTGGTTCCACGCTTGTGTTTGTTTTGTACTTATGGTTGGTTGGTCCATAGCTGTGTTAAACTCCTATGGTTTGCCAGCAACTTCAGCCACGCCGAAGCCTCCCAGTGGTCTGCGCCAGGGTTCCTGATCTCCCTACATATACCTTCTCCTAGGCAGTGAGGAGCCACACTCTTCAGCTTTGTTTGGTCATCAGGTCACTGCTCCAGCCAATGGTAGCCCTGGGATGGCTTAGTCATCACAAAACACCCCTCCTAACACCCTGGGGTGTGGTGAGAGGAGGGAGGGGGATGCACAAGGAAATTTCTGTGGGTGATGAATATATTCACTATCTTGATTATGTTGATGTGTATACAGGTGTGTATATAGGTTCAAAACTAGGCAAATATACACCTTAGATATGTACAGATTACTGTAATTCAATTATTGCTCAGTAGAGCTGCTTAAAAATTATGTTCTCTGTAAGAAAACAAACAATGTCGGAAAGAAAAGAACAATTTTTGGTGAGGGAGAGTAGTTTATTACTGACATTGTTTAGAAATCCTGGAGCATAGTGACAATAAAAACAAGCCTGGATTTACTCAGATTTATTATTGTTTTAAAATTCTCTGTTCCCCTTTATTCCCTCACAGGGAATGAAATATCCCCACTGCCCTGACCTGGATAGGCCACTGCATGACTCCAAGTCACTTAGCAAGAAGGTGTCCTAATCTATGTGGGATTTGTGGCCTCCAGACACTGTTATGGAGGCTGGGGTTGGTGATTTTTCTGTACGGCGAGTTTTTGTCCCTTCGGAGGGTCTTTAGTTGTTTACATCATAAGGTAGGTTACAACCACTAAGAGGTAGATGGCTGGAAGCAAATCATTTGTGTGCCTTTTTGGTGGGTGCCCTGCCACCCTATACACATCATGCCTCTCCTCTGGGCCCCCTCTCCCCAGCCCCAGCAGTAGTGCTGAGCCCTTTTTCCTCCTTGCACAGGAGATAAAGTGTTAAGGGGAAATTTGTCTCAGGTGCTCACTGCTCACCCAGTCCTTATTCCCTATGTCTGGCTGACTTTGGACATTGAAGGACCCAGTCTGGTCCTCCACCTCGAAGGACCCCACCTCCATTCCTTGTCACACACCTGCCTCTTCCTTTCTTTCCTCCCCATCAGCAGAGAACTTGCAGAGACACACACTCATCCCCTGGATGAAGGAGCCTTTCACAAACTGTCACTTTTGTTTTAACCCTCCCTGTTAAAGATTCCGTCTCTGTGGTTGGCTAGCTGGGCCATTGGAGACCAGCAGATAGTTCTGGAGTCCCTGGCTTTGCTCTGCAGTCACTGTCTGTACCAGTCATTACTTGGAGTGGTGGATTTTTCTTGGGTCTCTTGGTCCTGCTCTGGCTGATTTTGATTCATTTTCTTATTCAGACTGTGGCAAGAGACTAATATTGTTGGAGTCTTACTCTCAGGTTTTCTCAAACCCCCTTGAAAGGGTCTTTTTACCTTCATGGCTTTCTTTTGCACCTGGAAAGGCAACAGGGTGAGCCCAGAGTGGCTTTGGTTTGGGGGAGGAGGATGGTGACTGAGTGGGAACGGGGGCTTCATGAGAAGGGGTGTGCATTGAGAAGGGGATTTGTACCCAGCAAGGACAAGTTCAGAGGCTTAGCGGGGGAGTCTTTAGGAAAAAGCGGAGCATGAAGAAGGCATTCTGACATTGCCACTGTCTCTGAACTTGGGTTGGCAGGGGCTCTTCTTTCATTCCTTTCTTTGGTGCTGGGAGTGAGTCGTTGTACATGTGTGTGCAGGTCCCCTTGGTCATAGCAGAGCCTCCCATTGCCTACCCAGGGAGACTGCCCTTCTTCTATGTCAATGACCCCTGGACAGTGAGGCTCCACACCCTTCAGTTTTGCTAGGTCAGCAAACACTATCCCCAGCCAGTGGTGTCTAAGGGTAGGCTTAGACTAGAGAAGGTGCCATTCTTGACACTTCCAGGGTGGGGCATGCTGGGAGGCCTCAAGATGGTGGCTGGAGAAAGGGAGTGTTTCCTCAACACCCTCTAGAGACGTGTCCCAAACCGACCTGCCACCCCTCCTCGTCTCCCCACGTTCAGTCCCTGTGGTGCACGTGGCAGGGAAAAGGGGATTCCTCCAAACAATTTCCCACGGCCACCCCCATTCAGTGGTTCATTCTGTTGTCTCCCTCCCCATCACTACCATGTCTCGTTTATCCATCTGAATGTCTGTGTCCCACTAAACTCCCAATCAGGCATCTTGTCTTATTCCTCTATTTTCCTGCACTCAGCACAGTTTCCAGCGCATTCCAGGCCCTCCATAAACACTGTCGCACTAATCTCAGGAG